TTTCTGCTATTCAGTTGTTATCCTGGCCAGGTGCGAAAGGTAAGGAAGATTAGTCTACACATTGGCTTCACTTTGTGTATGCTGTATTCCAGTGCTTTCTATGCAGCATCACTAGATGTAAGTAAAACTTACATCTGCTTATTTGAATAAGTAATACATTGTGTCACACAATTGGTTTTGCCTTCTGTTCTTGTTTTTTTTGTATGGTAAGATCATTATCCCCTCTGCCAGAGCTGGGTCTCAGATAAGCTGCCCTGTTCATATTAAATGTGAGGGATTCCATTACCATTTTAGAATGTCATTTGACTTAATTAATATGTCAACTACTATAGCTTCAATATTCCAAAATTACGTTGCTCAGACAGCTTGTACTCCAAAAGTGCTGGAGGCCCTCTCTACAAAGCCCTGAATTGGGAGGACCCTGTAGTGTGTGCCCAATATATAGATGGCCTTTTGCTGCCTGTCTTCTATAGAAATCATTTAGAGGCACCTATCATGGAGCTGGAGATAGTAGCAGCACTCAAGCACACATGGACAGGGTCAGCCCCAGGGCAAAATGGCTTGCTGGCACTTTATTACTGTAAGTTTCAGGACACCTTAGTTCCCCATATGGAACGATCTACGTCAGGGAACCCCACTTGATCCTTTTTTGAATATGGAATTTATTAGCCTAACAAGGACCCACGAGAGGTAGGAAACTTGACCCATTTTGCTAATTAATAATAACCTTAAAGAGGAGCTCCAGTAGGTTTTCAGAAAATAAAATTCAGCAGCTACAAAAATTGTAGCTGCTGACTTTTAATAGTCGGACACTTACCAATACCATGGTCCAGTGTGCTCAACCGAGGGGGCACTGGGGACCGTGTTCGATCCTTGGTGCCGGCAATACACATTATTTCTCTTCTGCAATCTCAATGGGATGGCGGTACCAACCAGGAGGACCGGCTCTTGTCCAGTGACTTGCAAAAGGCCTTCAACTCTGTGTCATGGACCCACATCTTCTAGGTCTTAAAGGCCTGGAGATTTTAAATTTTCTTCTCACGTTAGGAGTCTTATATTCCCAACTCCAAGCCAAGGTTAAAGTGTTACTAAACCCAGGACCCTGCATTCACTATATCTGGTCCCTCAAAGTGCATAGAACATGAAAATGCAATTATATTAGTAAATATACACTGCAAAATACCTTTTCTTATCAGCAGTATATAGCACTAGTAATCTTGTAGGAGGCATTTTCATTCTGCCTTATGAGGCTGCAAGAACCTTGACCCTCTGTCTGGACAGTGCTGATTAGACCTGTGCAGATTACATGCACCCTCCCAAAGAAAAATTCTCTAGCCATGCACACTAAACTGAGCATGTGCAGAGTGACTCCTAGAGCTCTGTATTATCAGCAGATGGATTTGGGACAGAAGAAGAAGGAGAGGATCGGAGAGGACAGGATCAAACAGCCGTTTTACACAATGTGGAGGATTAACCCCCTAGCTTCCACAGTGAGCATAACAAGCATTCTTTACTGCATATAGAGACTGATTGTACTGTTGTGGGTTTAGTAACACTTTACATTGGGAATGCAAGGGGAACTTGTCAGGGATGTCCCTTGTCCTTGTTAATTATCTCTATTGCAATTGAGATGGTGGCAATTGTCATCTGTGACATTAAGGGTGACTTATGTGGCTCTTGGGAGCAAAAGTGCCTTCTCTTTGCAGATGACATGCTGCTTTTTGTAACTTCCCCTCATACCTCTATTGCCAACATTCTTCAGACACTGTGCAAGAATCTTTTCTGTTCTGTGACAGGATGGAGCATTACCATATTTAGGGAATAGTCTTCCTGCCTCTTTTATGGTTGATTATCCCCGTTGTATCAATGTTTAGGGGACCTTCTCTCCAGATGGATTCTATTTTACCTATGATGGCTTAATAAAATACATGTGGTCAATAAAATACATGTGGTCAATAAAAAACATGCGTTTTACTGCTAGTTTATACTGCTTAAATGCAATTGTTTTTATCCTTAGCGGTGTCCATTAATAGGATAGATCTACTACACTTCCAATCAAATGTTCCTAGTTTCATTTGGGGTGTGAAGGAGCTAGGCTAGAAAATACCACTCTATTTGCATGTAAGCAGCTGTCAACGTTCCCAACTTCTAGAATTATTATACAGTGGCACAACTAACACAACTTTTGGTCATATACTCTAGGCTTGAAAAAGTTATCTGGGTATATTTTTATTATTATTATACAGGATTTATATAGCGCTAACAGTTTGCTCAGCGCTTTACAATATATATTTGGCGAGGCAAGCTATTTGCTCCTTCCCTATTGATTACTTAGTCTGCTGCATATCTAAAGACAGGCCATCGATTATTACACTGATATTGTCTCAATCATTTGCGCTCTGGGACTGCTTGAAAAATAATGCCTCCCCTTGCTCATTTGTTTAACAATCCAAAATTCCAACTGGGTATGAACATCAGGAAGTTTAAAAGGCAGACTGACAAGAATCTTTATGGAATTGGCCAGTTCTTCACCCACAGAAGACCCTTCACTATTTGCCACTATTTCACTGTTTGCCAATGCACAACTAACCTTGAGATGCCCCAGGCTGAATGGTTTTGTTTTTATCAAATTTCTCATTTTTTATATTACCTTTGTCCCCACTCACCCGACCCTCACTCCTTGACAGCCTATGAAAAATTGTTTACTAAGGGTTAGGGTTCAAGGGGCAGTATCTCTATGATATATGAGCTGTTACTCATCTCCCCCCAAAAGCAGTTATATATGCTAGCCTTGGAAAGAGACCTTGCTTTCGACCTTGAACCAGAATCCTGGAACTCCCTACTACAAGACTCCTTCAGGAGGATTTTGAATATCTCCTTGATGTAGGCCAATCTCAAGGTCCTGACTAGATGGTACTTGGTCACCTTACGCCTTGCTAGGATGTACCCGAATACCTCTCCGGATTGTTTTAGAGGAAACTCAGTATGGGGCTGTATCCTTCATACATGGTGGGATTGCCCAAAAATCAGGGGATTTTGTAACAGGGTCTTTTCCTTGCTCCATTGAGTGTCCAGTCTCTCTGTCTTACAACAACCTCAAATAGCATTGTTGAATGAATTCCCACTGGGATTCCCCTTTTCCGCTCGACAGCTGGTCTTTTTCATTCTTTTAGCTGCTAAAATTACAGTCGCAGGAGCATGGAAAACACTTTCAGTTTCTCTGAAATGCATAAAAGATAAGATTTCCTGGATTATGAACCATGAGAAAATAGTGAGTATTGTCAATGATAAGCAACACCAATTTGAACAAATATGGAAACTGTGGGCTACCTATGTGAACATACCAATTACTACCTATCAGGCAACTATTTAATCTCTCCAGCAAGGGCCCTAGGTCTCTTCTTTGCTCCCCCTTCCCCATTATTTTCCCTTTCATTTCTTTGATACTTGTCTCCATCTATTGGTTATCTCTGAACTTGTAAGGATATTGTGCAGCTGACTATAAAAACATTGGAGTTTTTCTTTTGGGTATAGACTGTACGTTCTAGGACACCTACTCATCAGTGCGCTGAACTACTCTATTTTTACAACCCATGGCAATTGTATAATATATTGTACCAGTTTGCTGTACCTCACGCTGTTCAGTGGAAGTCAGATATTCATTTATGTGTGATGTGGGGCCTTGGGTCCTTTCTTGAGCTCAGTGTTTGTTTTGAAGAACGATGTACCTGTTTTTTTTACTTGCATCTGCTATAATAAAAACGTATTGAACAAAAATATCAGCTCTGCTCAGTGCGTTTGTTTTCTACCTAATAGTGTATGGTGTTTCTTTGGCTGCAAAGATTGTACTGAGTAAATCTCAGTTGATGATACATCTCAGACAGTGGAATTATATAGTATACAATATGTGTTTATATTTCGTAACACCAATAGTCATTTTTTTTACACATTTCTTGAATGAGCAATGCTGTATTTATTTATTTTTTGTATTTTTTTATTTTATTTATCTTTCTTGTATTGTTGATATTATGTGGTTACTGCTGTTTTTTGTAATTTTTTTCATATATTGGTACACTGTGACAACTTAAATAGCAACTTTTCACAATTTTTGTTTGTAAGAAATGTCTAGAGAAGTGTCTTAATTTTTATTAGGGTTAGTATGGTGTTTGCTTTCTGTTTGTGCCTAGTACTTCTTTCCTGAAAACTGAGGCATGCTGGGAGTAAGAAGGGTTATACCAGGCTAGTACTTTTTTTTCAGCTTCTAAATCGTAACAGTACATACCTAATAACAATATTTCTACTATATGTTTCCCCACCACTGCACAAGAACGGATTATTTTTACTAGCATTCACTTCTGTTGCTTGGTGGGATGGTAACAATGAATTGTATAGTAATTTTATGAAAATACTATTCTTGCAAAATGTTGCATTTTTATTATGGTTTATTGTAATTAGTAAGCAAGTTAATTACTGGTGTTATAACGGCACTTGATAATAAGGATTATTTGTACAAAGAGCCCTTACCCTTGAAGGCTATATTATCTGCTGTAACAATGCATTTCTAAATTTTCTTATCCTAAATTTTCTTAGTATAGTATTGTCTGGATTGCATGCTGATTTTCTGATTTCTAGCTTTTTATTGGGAGTCCAAATCGCTAAATTAGGACAGCAGAAGAACAGAAACTGTCTCTTTAGTAACCTGTGTTTAAGCTTATGCTGAGCCTTAGGTGCGTGATTCACAACATGACACCTGTGACTCATTCCATGTGCCTTCTATCCTGCTGTTCGCTTTGACGCCTGAAGAGTGGACATTAACCAAAGTGCTTTATTGTTGACTCACATGAAAGAGGGAAGATTATGATGCTGTTTGCAATTAAATTGTCTACGTACTTTGTTTTAAAAATATCCTGCAGCTTTAGTACTTCAGTACTTCCATCAGTCGAATAGATAAATAATCTACATTAGTGACCTAGCTAATATTCTTCAATTTCTTGATATAGGTCGAGTACCAAGAGCAGTGGCTTCAAGTAACCAGCACTTACTTGCTTCTGATGATGTGGTCAGCTGCTGCTTGGACCTAGGAGTGCCCAGCATTTCATTTCGCATTAATGGCCAACCTGTCCAAGGCATGTTTGAAAACTTCAATACTGAAGGATTATTTTTTCCAGTAGTGAGCTTCTCTGCTGGAGTCAAGTGAGTTTTATTTCCAAGGTATTATTTTTTTAGAACCAATAATGCAAATAAAAAAAAAATGTCAATAGGTATAATGTGCAGACATTAAACGCCCCAAATAATCGGGCAAAAGGTTGTCACTTTCTGGGAGTGTCAAATCTTGTCCACCTCTGCCTCTTTCCATACATTCCAATTTGCCAGCAGGGCAGCCAACCATAGTGACTGAAAACTGGTGACAGAAGAGAGCAGAAATGACCAGGAATTGTCTCAGCTTTTTCTGACCAGAATGGCCCAGAAACTGTATAATTGAAAATAATACTACCAAGCTCTCAAATTTGTTTTAGGCAGTTTAAGGGTGTGGTAAGGCATGCCTAAAGTTAAGAATTGAAAAAAGACCCTTAAAATAAACTAGTGAAAGGAGGACCCCCTTTGCCAAGCATGTGATGTGATCACATGCCTGATGAAAGAGTCCGGTGAGGCTGCAAAATGCTGCACTTTACCCCTGTGATGTGAAATATTTGGATGTAATTTTGAAGACCCACCGTGTGCTAGTGAATGTGATATATGCTTCTACTTACCAGTTTCTAGCTGGTAATTGATACAGCACCTGCTTGTCTCTTGTCTACTCCACGAACGAGTGTAATGGGAATATTGCTTGATGAAGGCTGCTGCAGGGTACTGTACATTGACCTTTAGGTACTTTACATCTGTTAACAGCTTTTTTTTAATTGGTTAAGTGGCATAGTGTAGAAGAGTGTAGAACCTACCGCAACAATACCTCCAGCTCTGCAAATACTTCCAAAATAGTCAGGAGAGTGCACTAATGTGCACATTTTTCTGTGTTAGTTATAACATTTGAACGGAAAATAGTTTACAACTGTGGATAAAACTCAATACTCTCACATAACTGTGGAGAGCAGGCAGCACCCCCTCTATGTTGCTGCAAGGCATGAATGTATCACAGGTCAGGAAAGACTGAAGTATGGTTTTCAAAAAGGGGGTTAAAAAATTGGAAACCTTTTATCTGATTTCTGGCCCTATCTGCTCTATACATATTAAGAAAACAGAGTCTTCCTGTCCCATAACATGTAAAAACAGCAGGAGAGCTCACTATAAATCCAGTGAAATATTGTGAATTCCATAGGGAAACACTGTTGTTTGTAGCAGCTATATGCTATTTGAAATGTAATATTACCTATAGTTGTCTCTCTCTGCCCTGAGGTAACTGATAGCTAAAAATTTATTTCAAGCTATCTCATATTGAAAATGTATACCTTTGTGTTTTAAACATGAATTGTTTATTTTTCTTCCACAGAACATTACCTCAGTGGCAGTGAATTGAGCTTACTGTGTGTGCAAATGAGTGAAAGTAATGTTGTCCCCTATGTTATCTGAACCTTTAAATGCAGCCTAAGGCTCAGTTCACACTGCTATGCCTCCAAAGTCGTGCGGCTTGCTTGCAATTTCCTTGCGACTTGCTTGCGGCTTTTGTGGTTTAACATTGTACTCTAGGGCACTCAAGCTGCACCAAAGTCGCTGAAAAGTAGTGTAGGGATCTTTTTTTTCTTGCTGCAACTTGAGTCGCATAAGTCGCAGTAGTGTGAACTAAGAGTATGATCCAAGATCTCCCAGTATATATCAGAAGAAAAATTGTATTTAATACTAGTTTATTTTAAGGACCTATTTTTTAATTCTTAATTTTAAGCTTTCCTTCCCACACTGTTAAATGGTGGATAAGCCAAATTTGAGAGCTTGGTGCTATTATTTTTAATGGTACAGTTTCAACCAATCCCCTAAAATCCTGCTTGCTGCAATTAATGTACTGTTTCCAACAAACGCATCATCAACAGGGCATATAGGACATGCTTAAATTTTCTCCACGTGATAAATGCATATTTTACCTGCAGAAGTAGATATAGACCTTGAAGCCATTTTTACTGCTGGCATGCTGATAGCAACTAAAATCATGTTTATGTTATTTTATGTATTACATTTTAGGGTTCGCTTTCTTCTTGGTGGCCGCCATGGTGAATTCAAGTTTTTACCTCCTGCTGGCTATGCCCCATGTTATGAAGCCTTGTTACCAAAAGAGAAGATGAGAGTAGAACCTGTGAAAGAGTACAAGAGGGATTGTGAAGGTGTTCGAGATTTGTTGGGCACAACACACTTTCTTTCACAAGCCTCATTCATCCCATGTCCTATTGATACCAGCCAGGTATAACATTTTATTGTTTCTTTCACAAGCAGGTTTACTCATCAGGTTAAAGGTAAAAAGAAACAACAAAAAAAAATCAGTCAAACATTTTTTCTTTGGTTTCGATTTTGGAGGACATTTACCTATACTATCAAAAATAAAATATGTGAAATTTGTTCATGATGGCAGAACATCACAACTTGTAAATGTACAATGCTTCCTAGGGTGAAGTGAAGCTAGATGGGTATCTGGAAACATTCTTTTCGATTGGTTAATCCATTAATTGTTCATCAGCATGTTAATTTTATGTTGTAGACAGTACTTTTATGTAGAAAGTTGTCATTCCTAGTACATAGAAATGTGAACGTTCAGTGCTATCTCTCATGAAATATAATGGACTGTTTATGAGCTGACTATTATGTGTTCAGGGATTCTAGGAGAAATTTGGCATTGAATTTTTACCTAATAATATATATTTATCAAGCTGTTTGTAAATCAGCCTATAATCCCTTTTTGTGGCTGGGCTGTTGGTAAATACACCACTCAATATGTTTATTGTGACAACTTGTCTTTTTTGTAGATTGTTTTACCACCTCACCTTGAGAAGATTCGAGACAAGCTAGCAGAAAATATTCATGAACTATGGGGCATGAACAAAATTGAGCTTGGATGGATTTATGGAAAGGTACCTATATGTTTTTCAATTCCTGTTCATTTACTGTTGTTCTGTAATGTATGAAATGTGCTATTGACATTATTAACTATAATAAACTCTTCTATTAAGTATGCATGGTACTTTCTGTAATTTAAATTTTTATAAACAGCACATTCTCACATACACTGTACACTCTCAATGTTTTGGAACTGATTACACAGACACATTCAGCTCCATTCTTGCTGAAGCCCTAACAATTTTGATAAGTGTTAGCTCACTTTATACTGTAGCTACTGTACTATAGATTAAATGTGTGTTTTATATATATGTACAGGGACTAATGCTACCAGTTTACTCTCAGGAATATCTTTCTGTTCTTTACTGTCAATTCCTGGTTATCAGTATATTGTATATGCAGTATCCATTGCAGTCTGTGCTTGTTAAGGTCTCTCATTCTCTGTCCATCTGTCATCAAAGTCATTTTGTGTATGTACATCAATCTATGTCTATCAGTGCCTGTTGTTCTGTGGGTATTGTTGTCAGTCATTCTGCATAAGTATTAGCTTTAGGGAATATAGGCGTAGCCTCCCTGAATTCAAGGGGTGTCAAATAAATGTACCTTTCTTGGGTAAAACTTGAGAAGACTAAAGTGACTGATGCCTTTCCTTGCCCTTCCTTGTCATGTGACCCTGTCCACTGCAGCCATGTATTCACCCTGAGGTAAATGCTAGCCTTCTCCCTGCTGGAGATGAGTCTGCTCCTACCCCATGCAGGAGGGATGCTTCAATTTTGGCACCCAACTTGGGGCTCAATGACAGTAATCACCTTAATTTCTTTAGACAACAACTGTGACTGTGGAGCAGTCATCGTGGCACCGTGGGACCACATGACCACATTTCACCACAGAGACTATGCCTCTTTATTCAATATCTGTATGTAAGCGCCTACTATGAGATACAGGAAACAGAAAGATTGTTCCCGGGCTTTGTCATTTCCCACAGGAGCGAGAGGGTTAGCTTTGCAAAGGAGGACTTCTAGACTCCAGGTCACTAGGATTTTCCAAATACCTCTTTGACCTTTTCAAATTCACTTGGCCTGTGACCTTGTATATTTCTCTGGTGTTGGAACTTCTCACTTTAAGAAGTAGAAGGAAGAAGCAGAAGAAGTAAGAAGTAAGAAGTAGTAACTGAAAAGGTGTCTGAGCATAATATTATGTGAATATTTTACATTTAAATAAATGATTCTCCAACTGTGTTGTAGGTACGAGATGATAATAAACGCCAGCATCCTTGTTTGGTAGAATTCGCAAAGCTACCAGAAACAGAGAAGAACTACAATCTACAAATGTCAACAGAGACTTTAAAGTAAGTTTTCATCCCTCGTATAGTTATACACTCTGAATTACAATTTAAGGGAACTAATATTGGGTAGCTGCATTAGCAGTTATTTTCATCTATCAGAACTACTAATTTTCCAAATGTATTGCATTCAAAAGCTAGTAGTTGCAGTTCGCAAAATTGTTGTCATCTTGAAATGACAGTGTTAAAACTGAAATACTTGCCTAAAACATATTATTCAGTGTTGGGCTCTCAATAAGACAATGCTTTTTAAATTAAATTCCTGGCGATATAAATTAAAGTATGTATGCATTCAATAAACTTATTTAATGTATGTATATTACTTCTAGTGTGAGTAAATAGATAAAGCATACTACATTGGAATATTGCTTTTAATGCAAGTTAAAAGGAACTTAAAATGTATCAAAGTAGTCTTTGATGCCTGCAGGTTCCTAAGCTAGCATTTAGACTATTCCTGTTCCTTAGTGGCACCTTTTGATCCTAGGGCTAGACTGTACCTAGGGCCTTAATGTCTTGCCAAGCAGAGCTTAAGCCCTTCTGCTCTTCATCTGTTAAATCTCAAAACCTTGGTGGGCAGTAGGGACTGTGGCTTTTGACAATGGCAGCTTACAGGAGGAAGAAGAGAGTACAAAGAGAACCTCAGAAAAGTGACAATACTGTTTCACAGTCCCCTT